GATGATGACAACTTGCGCTAAAAACGCAAAAGCATGGTTAGACGCTTGTTTGTAAACAATGAAACCCTATGGCCATCTGACGCATGCGCAGGTGACGACTCCCCCGATTTAACATGAAATACATGGTATAGGGGTAGGATAGGATTGGAATTAAAAGTATGGTTCTGTGAAGTTTTACTGATTGTTGCTTGTATCAACCCATTGTTGTCTATACCTTATAAGGATATCATGAATATGTATTTACATGTATATATAACCCATGTGACCTTAGAGTTTCAGCCAATCAAATCAGGTCAATCTTTATGTTCATCCCATATATGCTAAGCATTCATCCTGTACTTCTTTATTCACAGACTGAAATTCATAAATTGGTACAGTGGATGGGAGGTGTTATTTCCAAGAATTTCACAGACAATGTCACTCACTTAGTGGCAGCTGAAGTAGGATCGAAGAAATACCATGTAAGTTTCTATAATTATCTAAGTATAAACAAAAGTTTCTTGAAACAGTTTTTGAGAATTCTTCCGACCATAAAGCTTGTTGTGATTGACTGATTCATTGCAAATGGTGCATGGAGTACACGCGAACTATAGTGCCTTCAATTCAGCAGAGGTAAAATATCAGTGTTCTCATACGTGGGGTGGAATTGTTTCATCAGTTTAGAAAGTACAAGACCCATCTACGTGGAACTGCAGTACAGACAGAAATGTTGTAGTTTGTTTCCTTTATAGTGGAGACAGTTTACTCAAATGTTTATTATGTTTGATTTTTTTTTTATACACTTATGAACTGTCGCTTGTACTGCACAGGGTATTTGCATAATAAATTTCATGAATATTTATAGTTGATGATAAATGTCATGAATTTTCATAGATGGATAATAAATTTCATGAATATTCATAGATGGATAATACATTTCATGAATATTCATAGGTTGATAATACATTTCATGAATATTCATAGATGGATAATAAATTTCATGAACATTCATAGTTGATAATAAATTTCATGAATATTCATAGTTGATAATAAATTTCATGAATATTTATAGTTGATGATAAATGTCATGAATATTCATAGATGGATAATAAATTTCATGAACATTCATAGATGGATAATAAATTTCATGAATATTCATAGGTTGATAATAAATTTCATGAATATTCATAGTTGATAATAAATTTCATGAACATTCATAATTGATATACATTTCATGA